TTTTTGTAATGTCTCTCAATGAGCAAACAGGCAAGTTCCCACTCCTTCCCCAGCCCACTTCTCTGAATTTCTGCAATAACTTCACTTTCTGGACAACTGCAAATTCTGTAAATAAGACTACTTTGAGCCAAGTGGGCTTATAAAAAATATTTAAAAAAAAATAGAAGAAAGCAATCTTCAAAGGCAAGCATCAGTCAACATCTCAGGTCTGACTACTTCTATCAGCAGAACTTCTCAAAGACTAACCCAAAAAATAAGTAGAGGATCTTGCAAGCCTTGCTTGCAGGAATAACGCACAATGGCTGGTCACTTCAGCCTTTAGAGTCATTCTTTGTTTTTTTTCCCCCTGGATCTTTTAGATGTTTTAGATGAAGGAAATCCCTTTGCTTTCTGTGTCTCTTAAAAGCCTGTACAGGGTGGTGAGCCCCATACCGTACTGCTACAGTGCAGCTTTGGTGAAGGTGCCAGAGGGACATTACGTACAACTCTGGTCATACAAGTCAGTGTTTCTGCCTGCCGAACAAAAAAAAAAAAAAAAAAAAAAAAGAAAATCCTAAAATCAGCTGCCTGGACTGATGTAGAGACTCAAGACTACCCAATAGACGAGGCGAGGGTATCACTGCCTGTCCAAAAGGCAGGAAGTCATCCTGCTGCTGCCAGTAACTCGGCAGGCGGGAGGATGCCTCGCTTTACAGGAATCCTGCAAGTTGCTTGGTGGGAAGAAAGGCTGGGAGCGGGCGAGGAGGCCACAGAAAACATGAAAAGCAGAACCCAGCAACTGTATCACATCACCAGGAGATGCTCCCGAAATAACTGTCAACAGACAGCTGCCAGGACTACAGGAGAAAAGCTAATTCCATGGTATCAAGCAGGAAGACAGTAACAGATGAAATCCAAAACAGCTATGGAGAAGCTAATTAACAGACCAACTTCCCTACAAACCAACACCATACTCTCTCTAGCAAATTTAACTCCACAAGGAAGGGGATTAATAGCAGTACTGTTTTGTAGATGGATGACTGAGGAGCAAAAGGACTAACCTATCATCAGCTCTCAGTGACCACAGGCAGGGACCCAAGGCACGACCTCCTCAAGTGCCGGGCTAACCCTGCCGACAGAAATGCAGCAACCAGTTCCCAGAGATCCGCTCTGGAATACTAAAGCTGAGATCTGCAGTGGTGTTCTGCTCCAACAGATAAGGACTCCGACTAGACAAGAGAACAACTGCAATCAACAACAACAAAAAGAACAGCTTTTAAGTATACAAAACTAAGATACACCTGTATGGAAGAAGCTGTCCATAAAACAACTCGGCAAACACATCTTAAAGACAAGCTCTTTGCAAAGAAGATAACTCTTTCAAATAAAAATATAAATGTACTTTGTACCTGAGGAATGGATCTTGATCCAACATCGAAAGGGCTTGGAACTACTCCAACGATCCACATTTTAAGTTCTACGCTCCTATTTCCAAGGCAGAGCAAGAAGTTGAACTGCAGCAGAAACAAACTCCTGTGACATCCCTCTGGAGCACTAGTCCTCAACTACCAACGGGAGAAGGATGAGAAGGTGCATAAAGATAAACCAGCCTGTACGTCTGTGCAGCTAACATCAGCTCTGCAGAAGGACGACTGAAAGCCATAACAAAGCTTCCTTCTGCTATTAGATTCAAAGAGATACTGTTTCAAATACATTAGACCTACTCCTAGTCCATCTCTTAATTAGCCTGCACAAAGCAACACAAAATTTGAATTCCAACAGGTCATTTCCTACCTTGCCAAGCTACATTACTTGGCAGAGAAGTGATGCAATAAGAAGTCATTACTCAAGAAAATGAAATCCTATCTATTCATATGGCCGTGAGCATACCACATTATGTAATTTGGAGATACCTATGCAATGTGGCATAGGTTCGTATGTATTTGTCTTTCGCTCTGTATTGTTTCTAAATGAACATCTTGAAAACAAATACAAAATCCAAGCTCATTAACACCTTTGGCTTCTTTTTAAACTAGTGATTTTAAACTACCATCCTCAGACATACAAATATTATTCTCCTTCTCACACTATGAGATATGGGAGAAAGGGCAAGTCACACGATGTAATTAAAACCACAAAACATTGACAAAATCAACAGGCTTGGAGGGGGGTTTTTTTGATGCTAAGTTCCACAACAAACAAACAAAACCATCAACAAAACCAGCTACTACATTTGGTCTTATTTGTTTGTGAAGTAATAGTCAAAAAGATCTCTTTTAAAGAAAGTTGCCTTGCAGATTAACATTTCTGAAAGCGTAAAAATCCCCTTTTTGTCTATCTCATTCTTTAGGGTCACTAAATCCAGACCATCTGGATAATAAAGTTACCAACTTAGCTCCCTATTTATCTAATTAAAACTTCTGTACAGCTCATATGGAAAATTTGTCTACAGCTAAAAAACAACTGAAGTGTAAAAAGCAGCTGCAGGGAAATGATGTCACTCGTACAGCATTAATGCAGGCAGAGCTGGCTGACAGCGTATCGGCACCAGGAAGATCCTGATTTATTGTTGATCTCAACTTTTGAGCCAAATAAGCTATTTAAAAAAAAAACCACAAAAAAAACCAAAACAAAAAAACCCCAACAACAAAACACACCAACAAAATTATCCGGACCTTTCAGCCAAATCCTACTCTCACTGAAGCATCAGTGGTAACTTTTCAGCAAGATGATGACTTCAAGCCTGGCATTTTCTGTGAATTTTTTTTTTTGTACAGAACTAGTCCACTTTTAGCACTAAGGATAAAAGGATGACTCTTTAGCTGATTTAACCCACCAAAAACACAAGCGGCAAAACTACGCAAAGCAGTTGTCTTCTCTCTCATGGGCAGGGACCGAGAGGCCACGGCTTTGCTAATTTTCACTGTTACTTATGTAAATGCAGGTGATGAGAAGTCAGGCAGGTAGTCACGTTTCCACAACCATCACCTTCAATGCACAATTCTGTCGCCAAAAGGTAGTTGCTGCCAGTTATTACTTTTAATTTACAAGCCAGTTAAGGGTACATTCTCTTAATTTTTTTTGCTCTTTGGGGTGATGCACGCTGCCATTTGGGCCAAAGACGAGTGCAGGGGAGGTGTCCTCCCTCTTTCTAGGAGGCCCTCCTCCATCAGGAGGAAATGGGGGACAGATCCTTCTTTTGCAGTCCTGCAGGACGAGGATTCAGGTTCAAGTCCTTCACATGAAGTGCCCTAGCAATGCTCCAGCAGGTTACAGATCCGCATACAAATCCTATGACAAGCCAGCTCCTAGTAACTGCTTTGGTAATAACTGAGCATCATCTTTCAGCTGCAGCATCTTCTCTAGTTCATCCCCCAGAAATAGAGGGCTGCCTCCCCTCTTCTCTCATATAAAGAGGCAATTGTAAAATGAACATATAGACAACTGCTAATGCGTCTTCGAGACATTACACGCCTGCCTTAAAGATAAAATATCATCAGAAAATACCTTCCTACAAGTTTTCAGAGAGGTTTAAAAAAAAAAACCCTAAAATTCACGTCATAACGTATTAGGATGAAAGCAAGTAAAAATCTAACATATGCTTATTTAACTAAGTGTATTATGAACAAAAACCCTATTTTATAGCACCTACACATCTGCTGGATCTGAATTATAACTATGGTGTCATAACCTGGAAACAAGTTTAACAAATTGTTATACACAAACGTTGTGTGTAATATACAAACGTTAAACAAAACAGCTCTTCCCACTCAATTTCGGACTCCTTACTATATATGCACATGCACGCATGCTCAAAGTGTATCCCATTTAATTTTTAATGGAAATGTGTGTGTATATATATACATATAAAATTCAAAATTCAACTGTCGCCTTTTTGCTCCTAGATCGCAGACCACACTTGGGTACAACTCCAGTGTCCCAGTTAAGTATTAGTTTTGGCACTGTCAACACAATACCGTAACGCAGATTCAATAAAGAAAAGCACCCTACATTTCCTCCATAAACCTGTCGCACAGACTGCCTCAACATCCTGAGCCTGCAAGTCTATTTTAAAACACAATTTTTGGATACGTATCATTGATATAGAGCAGCAATGAGCAAACTACAAGCGGATTGTAACCAAGCTCAGTTAACTTATCTGGTAAGAATACGCTTACCAACTGATAGTGGTTACTAAACATCACACTGTAATAAAAACATTTAGCAATAAACATAGAGCAAATAGAGAACTCTTTAAAACTAACAAAAATAAAGTTTTCATTAAGTATGGCAGCAAATTTCTCCAAAACATTTTGCATTGTTCTACTCACACATTTAACGTTGCTTTACTCTACTTGGACTTACCCAGTGCATGAAATTATCTCTTTTCTTGTAGCTGTTCACGTTTTTCCCCTAGTAATTAGCAATCTACATCCCCTTTGACAGAGGGATACTAACAAGCTCCTACAGTTTCCAGTAGGACAAGGAATCCAAGGCTACTAATAGCAAACAAGTCATTTAAGCAAAAAAGGATTACAGAGGCTCGTTGCAAGAGGCTGGAAACTCACCCGTATTTCAGATTAAGGCTTTCTGAGGAGCTCTTTTGTAATGAGTTTTGACTCCATTTTACAAAAATATTTCATTGTTTTCTTTTAAGAAAAGAAAACATTGATTTGAATATCTATTAACAATTGCTTCTTTATGAAAATAAATAAGTACTAGAAAGACGGAGAAGCGTTTTCCAAAAGGCAAATGACGGAAACAATAGTTTTGTAACAAAACCTCCCTCCTGAGATCTCAAAGTTTAAAGAAAACAAAAGTTGCACAAACTTTGTAAAAAAAAAAAAAAAGGTTTTCCATTCTTCGCTACCAGGACACCAAAATAAGCTGCAAATCAAGCCAAAGTGCGGATTATTTGCAAGATTGCATTGCCAAAAATCCCTACAACCGTGTCCCTATTAAATAAAACAGGTTTAGATGAGCGAGAGCTCCTAAACGGAAAGGCAGAGAGACGGGCGTACCTTGAGGACCTCCATGGGTACCTGGGTGGCGGGGGGCAGGCTGGGGGGGACGCTGACGTTGATGGCAGGTGTCTGGCTGACGGGTACTCGCTGCTGCATGAACTGGGCGGCTTGCTGCTTCTGCTGCTGCTCCCGACGCTCCTGCTCCTGCATCTGCTCACGCATGAGCTGCTGTCGTAGCAGGATTCGTGAGGTCATGCTGGAGGAGCTTAAGGGAGGCTTGGAAGCGCCAGGATGCTCGGAATTGCTGTGGGAAGACCAGAGAGAGACAGCTCAGCTTCCACAAGCGGGATCGCGGCTCCAGCAGTCGGAGCTCACGGAATTACGCCGGAACGCGCGGCGGGATGGGCGAGGGTACGGTGCACCACGCGAGGGGAATTCGGGGCCGACCTACTTCAGGTACTTAGCAGCCACGTTAGGCTGCCTTAAGTTGACGGCAGCTAACCATTTCCAAACGCCAAAATCCAGCTCTAAAGAGCTATTTGCCCGTTCAATTTTTTTTACGGCAACCATCCACAAGAGAAACAAATGCTTTTATAGATAGCAGCAGGCACTCATATTCCTTTTTTTTTAAAAGGTAATAAAGGGCTGTATCAAGTCTAACGATAGGTATAAATAATGCTCCAGGTCAAATGACCTAGCTCAAAAAGAAATAGATAAAGTAAATCCACCTCTCCCACGAAAGCACAACATAACAAAGTTGGGTTATTTTCTGCAAAATACTACCTCGGGGTTGGATTTGCTAGTGGCAACACTCTTCATCACTAGAAACCAGACCCCAAAAAAATCCCCCAAAACAACCCAACTCCCTCTTCAGGCCTACCAGCATCTTCCAAGTGCAGGGAGATACAAGAACAGACAGAACAAACAATGACGGCTTTATTTCCGTCACACTTTACAAAGTGTATCAGGCTGGCCAGAGCCGGCACGCTGCACTGTTTCACCACCTAGGAGCTATTTCTAAGCCGAGCAAGCAGAGCTTCTGACCAGATGGCATGGGACAAACCATGGGCCTTGGCCATGGACTGCAGGGACACCTTCTGAACTAAAAATCCATTTATAAGACATTTCTGTAGCATAAGGCAGAACAATTAAGGTATGTAAATACCAAGCTGCACATCCTTGGAGGGAAGGATGTTGGAATTGGGTAGGAATACAGGACTCTGTAAGAAAGAGCTACAGGGCGCATAATTCAGGATATTTGGGTTCTGATTCTGGCTGCTGCAGCTGATTGCCGTCAGCCCATGGAAAAAGGGCTCATCAGGCTGTAACGAGGCAGGGCCATGCCTGGGGGAGCCAGCAGTAACCCTCCTGCTCTAGGATGAGACTGCCCTTGTAAAGCCCAGCTCCGGTGCCTGGGTGCTACCCGCAGGATGCTGGCAGGACAGCTTGTGACGGAGTCCAGGAGCCAGCACCCCTCTGGGTCTGGAGGCTGCGGGCACCGAGAGCTACTTGTGCTTGGGCAACCGGAGCCAGTGCTGCCAGAAGTCTTCTGGCTTTGTTTAGGACCAATGTTGAAAACAGTCCAGAGTAGAAATGAAAAAGGAGAAGACACACTTACTCCCCCAAGAGACCTAACTCTGCTTTTCCAGAGCACACATTTTGGGGGCAGGGAGGGAGGGAGGGGACCATCCTGCTATTTAAGACCTGTCAGGTTGAAACATTCGCAGAGACACTGATCCTTTTGATAAAACAAGAGAAAACCTTTGTGGTGAAACTAATGCAGCTGTGGAATAATCGCACTAATTAGCTGCTCAAGACAAGTCATTGACTGTGATACTTGTAAAAAACACCACCCTTCAATTAAGGGTGAAGTATTCTCACATCTAAACCCAGCAGCATGTTTCCTGGCTGCACATCTCCAAACCGAGGAGATGCTTTATTTCCATGACTAGAGTAGTTATAGACCAGTGGTCTCCCAAGTTTTTTGATCACCCACTTGTAGGAATTATATATGTGGATTACTGACATGTTAGTATTTTCTTCCTGCCCACCAATAATATCATGCACCCCACTTTGGCAACAGCTGTAATAGATGAGCAAAAAAGAGGCACCCAAATGCTGCTTTTGAGGAAGGATTCATTCTCCTTATGCCGAGGAAAAGCTTATTTTGTATCCTGTAAGCAGGATTCTCATTCGTGTGCACTTGGCATTTTTTCTAGATACCTTATGCTGCAAAACTGGTAACCCAGCAGTTTGTTCCACCTTCTTTCATTTTGAATGGTTTCTCCGCCTACCAAAGCCAAGTGTGCTGAAAACCATCTCAGAAGAACCTTTCCATATACTAGAATTTTGGGGAATGCAAGGGAGAAGGCAGCAGAAATTATTTCCACGGCATTTCAAACAGCCTCTGCCAGGAACCTCATCTCGCTCACACGATTACTGTTCCCACTCACACCAACAACTGTCCAACAGCTTCCTGCAGATGAGTCGGGGTCTACTGCTGATAGAAAATTGGTAACAAAAGCTTCAAATAGTGTGTCTTTACAAGAAACAATAATCCCAGAAAATGCTTTTCTGCCAAATTCTCCCCCAAAGGGTAGAGACTCTTCCAGGTTTTATTTCTTTTGTAATTCTGCTCAATATTCTAGTTATTCCCTGGGAAAAAGATAGCTTAGAAGTAATTAGGTAGGTTCTGCAAAGTCAAGCAATGTACTTTTTAAACTTTTTAAACAAGTATCAAAAGAAGAGCGGACACCAGCAAGGGGAAGAAGAGTCTGATCTTATCCACGTCCAGAACGTCAGATTTTGGTGGCCGGATAAGGGGGAAGAAAAAGCTCTAGAGGAGATTGCCGAATGTCCTGTTCCATCCTTATCCCAAAGGAGAAGCCAGAAACCAGAGTAGCTGCGGCCGGGCCACGGGCTCAGCAGACACACCTTTCTCCTATTTATGCACGTTGTAATTTTACGCAGCAGAGAGGCACCCAGGCCCTGAACGCAGGCAGCAATGCACTGCCAGACCACAGCCGTCGCCGTCAACACGTTTGAGTTCCAATAACACCTTTATCTGGGATAAAAGCTGCTGCACAACACCTGTCCGCCCGGCCAGATGCTCCTGTCACAAGCACTGCGAAGGAAACTGGGCAAACACAAGACAGCCCCTGCCACGCAGGATCCCCGTTATTTATCCTCCCGTGGGCAGGGTGGTCTCACCACACCAGACGCTGAAGACTCCTTCCACTCGCCATGAGTGGCACTGATCAAATGTTTGCAACTTTGGCATCTCATCCTCTAAGCCTGTCCCATACACAACACGGACTGTCCTCCCGCCCAGCTTCCCTTCCCCACCACATCCGCTCCTCCTCTGGACCCCAGGATGCTCCATGCAAAGCTCCAAGATGGAATGGAAGATGGTTTGGGTTTCCTCACCATGTACGCTCCAGAGAGCAAACAGGAGAAGCTTTGTCAGAAACTCAGTCTTCCAATCAAAAAGAGCCATTAAAAACTTATGTCAAAGGGTTCGTCAAAAGAGTTTTGAAAGTTCATATTTTTAAAGCTTCTTGACCTTTACGTGCTGCTACACAGGCAGATCTCCCACGATGAAGCACGGTGCCACGTACCGCAGTACGACCCAGAACCTGGACACGTGGATTCAATACTCACCTACGTGATCTGATTCACCCCTGGAGTATGCAGAGTCGGTAACAGAGCCACACACACAACTGATACACGATGCGATTTAGATACTTCCTGCAAACACCGTTTATGGATACCACTTAATTGCAATAAATGAAACCGACTCATCCTTTTAATTGACATATGATTAAACCAGTTATCCATTAGCAGTCTAATAAGCATAGTGTAATACAGACTGAGAGTTATTAGTTATGAGTGTCATGTGCCAATCCAATTAATCATGAAGTGATAACGTTTTATTAAATAAGGTTAAATTACATATCCTTTGCACAGATGCCTGGGAAATGTTAGCTCCTGCATACATATGTTATAATGCAGATGGCCATTGCATAATAAAAGGCAACTGATCAGATTAAAATCAAGTTTGATTTTGTTGCCATCAACTCAAGAGATTAGAGACCATACCTTGTAGAGCCTAATCTACCTTCCCAGGTGTGCACTGATTATTTTATCTCTGTCTCCTTGGGCAAAAAGACAGACCAGTCTTTTGTTGGTCAGTTTTGTTTCCAGAGTCTTTTAAATTGATCAAACAAGTTCTCTGGTTCCCATGCATTATTTACGCGAGTCGTCTGGTTTGCAAACGTTATTTTGCATTAGTTATACATTCGTTAAGAAACTTCTCTCGAGATTTTGAACTAGAAAAATTATTCAACTCAGCTTTGTTTTTTAATTACTGATTTAGAATTATTTTTTTAAAGAAAAGAGAAAAGCTTCCAATGTAAGGTTTCTTAGACAAATTACAATAATTAAAAACATAGACCAACTCCTCAAACCCAAAGCTTCTTCAAACAGAGATCAACAAGAATCAACTAAAATGCATTTTAAAAAAAAAAAAAGAGCTTTCAAAACCCCTTGCTCTGGCAGGATCGACTGCCCTGCTATAAGCAGAGAAATGGCACGCAAGAGGGAGGCTGTTGCTTTTCTCCCTTCATGCCAACTGTTTGTTAATGGGTTAGTCCACAGAAAAATCAGCCAAGAAAAGCAGATTTAGCACCTCAAGAAGTCCACTGAGCTGCACCAGATCTCGGAGGTCAGAGGTAAGAAATAACACTGGATTTAAACGCTTGTGTTTCATATCTTACCTTTATCCCATTCATAATTATTTATAGAGAAAAGAAAGGCATGCACATGTAAGTATCTGACATTAGGATGAAACTATTCTGAACTTTAAAGTAAGCAGATGAGAGGTTGCCAATGCTACAACTCAAATGCTTGGCCTGACCTCCAGAAGGCATCATCAGGAGACCACCACACAGCTCCCCTTCCAACACCCCTCCTGTTCAATGACCACTCGTTACCTCAAAACTAAGTTTATTTGTACAGATTCTGGTTTCAGTTTCTCTACCAAGCAGTAAAACCTCAAGAAACTTTTTATTGCCAGTACTATGTAGGTGGCTGAAAGAACACCACTTCTAGCAGCATCTAACCTGCCAGCTAGCATGGCTGTTTGCCACAGAGAGGGTAACAGAAAAGGGAAGGATACTGAAAAAAAAAAATAAATGCTAGGAGGAGCCAGATTACCCCTCCTAAAAAAATTAAAATAATATCTAAAACCCCAGAGAATCCACAAACAACAACCCCCCCCCTACACAATCTCTTGTCCCCCATCCTCA